TAAATTCGTTCAAATAACACATTGGTAACTTAATTGGACATAAATTATTAATTTCTCATGTTCCGAAATACATCAGAATTTAAAACAAGGTAAGATTAATAAACCTCACATTAAAACAAATGTCAACACTTGAAATAAGATTAGGAAGCACCGGGAAACATTTATGCAGATAATAATAATCAATAGAGACATAATAAAGATATAATGTATCTAAAAGATATAAAACAAACACGCTTAGTACAAACTAAGCGAGACCGCTACTAACGGACTTGAAAATCTATTTTTCAGTAGTATTTCGCGCGGAACGCTATCGTGCGAAGTGACAACCCCAGTTAACGTAGTATTAATTTGAGTTCATTAACTAAGACAACGCCATTTCGCGCTCACCCATACGACTAGCTACTACTTACTAGATGTTACATACTTATAAATTTATCAATTCAATTCAATATATTGTACTCAGCGTATTATCTTTAAATTTGGCATCTAAAACTTTTACAAATGTATTTTGTACCGTAATCACTTCTCATCTCTCCGGTAGAAATAGATTTATAACAAATAAAATATCATTTATTCCACTGTACCTACTCAAAATAAATGTCTGGCAATTAAGTCCCTTTCACTATTTACAAAAATTACTCTACTTAAGTATCTTTCGAAATACACATACGTAGCATTTTATATCGTTAACAATTTATAGGCAAAACGTAGAAATTTATCTAAAATAAATCTATGGTCCATAGTTTACAATAAACAAAAGATATGCTTTTAATTATACACTAATACGAACTGAATTTAAACAATTTTAACTAGTATATTAGAATTTCCGAATTCATATGTCAATTGATATGGATTGATATAATGAATATCGCAGAAATCGCGTCAATGTCATGTAATTACATGTTTAGCGCACAGACACCCAGGCATGTAAAGTCACCTTGTGCCAAAGCAAGGTTAAGTTGAATGAACAATAAAAAACGAGCTCGCGAACTGGAGACTCGTTGGGTGACTGATATCCGCGCACCCGAACATGCATCGATGACGCCGCCTGAGCCCGGCCCCACTACATATGCACTGTACAGTCCATATACAAGCGATTGTAAAATAGGTACTCGAACGATTATTCGTCATACAAATAAACACCGAATAGTATACGCCCACGAATCCAAGACACCCACGCGTCACATTCTCACTAATCACTGCCCTATAATAACAAAATATGTAACAAAATTTCCTCTTCAACATTATAAACTACAAATTTAATAAAAATTAATAATTTATTGCAATGTTTCGATTTTAAAATCGAAAATGATATGTGCGTGCAACGATTGTCTTTATGGATTTTAATTGAGCATAAGTCATATAAGTCAGAGGAAGAGATAGACTTTTTGGTCTCGACGACCAAACGGAGTGTAAACACATGTGTATGCGCAAGTCAGTTTTATGATTGAAGCAATCGGGACGTTTATTTCATTTGAACGGTTTAACGTCAACGTGTTTTATAAAACACTACTAAATGACTACTGAAAGATTGTTGATAGCCATATCCACAACATTGGAGCTATATTATTGGAGTAACACTGTACTGTAGACTGTAATTTTTTTTAACCGAAATTTAATGAGGTGTACATGGGATTCAGTACCAAAAGCCTCAAAGTGTACGTAGATATTGGAGTGTCAGTGTTAACACACAAATAATTGGATGAAGGCTGTATGAAAGTCGTAATCCGTCACCACTCACCACCTCGATACGAGAGACAAAATTCAGCCCATTTAAACGTTTCTGTGTTTTCAGAATTTACATACTTTGTAGCAATGTTTATGACGCTTCTCAATCATCTTCTAGTTATGTAGTCGGGCGATATCACTTTGTTTGTGAATAATAGTAATATTGTTAAAATAGCGAATTATAATACTTTTTGTTTTTTTTTTTCGAATGAATATTAATAAAATTATGATGTTATATTAAAACAAAAATAAGTACTACAAAAGCCGACATGAGCGGATCATGCTCAATCTTGCTAGCATTTTTACATAAACCTGCCTAAGGGAGTATAGTTATATTCAACTGGAATATTTCATTGCGATATTGTACAACACCTTGATTTTCCGTTAACAATGAAACGTAATACATCGAACTCAAATCGTGTATACAAATGTACTGTTCATGGTGCATATGACAGATATTGGATATTTTCTCGTTGACTGTGTAATGAATAGGTCTCTTACATCGGCAGAGTATTAATCGGGCGACAACCTAAACCGCGTCACTCGCGAACCGATGATGGTGTCGGTTTAATTTGAGATTCATTTATAGATTTTAATATTGGTACTAAAGAGATATGTACACAACAAAAATTTTGCCATTTCATCGTGTGTGATAGATATGTGGGCAACTGTCAGTACCCACTCTTATATAGCATCTGTTATGTAAGGAAAAATCTGCATTGCTTTGCCAACCACACATCTAGTTCATATAGTAATCTGCTGATATGTTGTGCTTGTTATCTCTGTGTAGATCACATAATTGGCAAGATTAAGGTCAACCTCACCTCCGCCATTTCTCTATTTCAGTCGAATTCTCATACCCAACTTGATATGTCAACTTTTTTGTTGTGCTGTAGATATACCTCTAATGAATCGTCAGATTTAAAATAGAAACCGCAAATTCTATAGTGATAATTACTCAAGAGCAAGATACAGCATTGCTGTTAACCGATAAACCGTCAGCCCTAAGAAGAGTAACGTTTCCTCAAAAAAACATGTTTAAAATCAATCAAACAGTACATATTAACGTTATATCTGCGACCAGAGCGTCTCTGCCTTCGAGTTTACTTACAGTACGGCAATGTTTACATTGAAAGTTTTTAGAAATATTTTAGCAGGAAAACGATCAAATAAAAATTAATTGTTCTTGCAAAATTACTAATTTTAAAATAAATGATATTTGTTTGCGATTATTTTTATTTATTTTAATTGAGATTGCGTTAAATCAACGAAGATGTAGACGAAATCAATAACGATGATGGTCGATGCAAGTTTTTTTTTCATATATTGAAATTATTGACTGTGGCTTTTTCTAATGAACACTTTACTTATGCCAACGTATAAGAAAGTTTTGGAACCGGCGTGCGAGCATACGTGCGGGCGTGTTTGTGCAGGTCCATTTATAAATTGTCAGTGCATCTTATATAAATCCCTTCTAAAAACGTGCATGTCCCATTTAAAAAGTTTTGGAATAAAATGGAATATTTTTTTAAATTTATAATAACGCTTTTGTAATACTGTATATGGCTGCGGAAATAGAATGTTTCGACTGGTCTTTTCTGTTACAGATATATCATCATTAATGACGAAATAGATGAGGATCCATGCCTTCGCGCCGGAGATTTAATTTAGGTTGTTTAATTTTTTTGTTCATACTTTATTTGCAGAGCCTCAATTTTTAAAATTTTAAATTGACGGAGTCGATCCGCAGGATATATTAAATGTCGCGATCTAAATCGAGCAAATGTGATTTGGTCCAATGCTATAAAGTATAAATAGCTAAAGAACTATTGCTTAAACTCTTATTTAAATTAAACTTCACGAGTATTTAAAGTTCTATGATGGTTCATACAATAATCTCCAATAATTATCGGACTCTGTATATTTGAGTTAGCGGTCTGCTGCCGCGAATTCGAATCATGTCTCGACTCAGATGATAATGACTAGAGACAGAGATAGTCACTAGGTCAGTTGGTCTGGAAGAGCTTATCGCGTTATTATGTAATATAGTAATATAATAGCCTTTTAAATGTCTAGAACTCTCTAAATAATTTATTATAGGTAGTTCAAATGGTATACGGCTTTATTTAAATAAACTGTTACTATTATTAATTTTAACTGTCAACATGTACAAATGTTTAATAAATACTTTTTGATAAAAGCAGATAATAGGTTTAAATTTTGATTACAAAAATCTGTTATTAGGTAATATTTATAATTAAGTAATTTCTTTTATTAAATATTTCACACGCGTTCTTTCTTTTAAATTACCAGAGATAAAATGTTAATTTGTAGTACTTATATTTAAAACAACAAAAAACTTAAGATGTAACCATTAATAAGATAATTAGAAATAAAATATAAAAACTACATGAATTTTACTTTAGCGGATATACGATATTTTTTTAAACAATAGAATACTTATTATAATCAATAAGAATTTATTATATAAAATATTTATTTTATTGTATCGTAGTATCATCCCTTAAAGAGTTATGATTTCAACCGAATCCCTTCGCGAATAAACTTCTATGATGGGAATGTTTCAGAAGAAAGTTTTTCGCGGTATTTTAACAGGCGGGTGGGCGGCGGTGGCGCGCACGCATGCGCGGTTCTAGTAATATTTATAAATTTATTCCAATATTTCTATTTTAAAATACAAAATGATATGTTGTTAAAATATTTTTATAGAATTTAATCGAGAACGAGATGAGTCAATGAAGTCGGGGTGGTAAAGGTCGTTGAGACCGATGACCATGTTGAACGTAAATTTTTCATAATATGTGCGTCAAAATGTTGGACCATGCGGTTTTTCCTAACGAACCCTTTACCACAATAATCACATGCGAAAGATTTACAACCGAAAATGAACAAGTCTGTTTTATAGTTGAAGGACTTGGGATATTCATTGCAGTTGAACGGTTTATTATCAGTGTGTTTTACGTAAGAGATATCATAAGAAAATCTTTTTGTTATACTGAGTAAAAGGGCAGGCCTAATTAAAGAGCTGCATACAATCGGAAGAAATGCATTCGGAACACTTTGTATGATTACGGGATCGGAATTTTTCACCTGGTTCCTCTTTGATATAGGATGAAGTTGTGGTCATTGTTGATGTAATAGATCCACGACTGTAATTTTTTACCTTTATGCTCTCCGAACAAACTTGAGAATTCATTTGAATCTTAATTATTTATAAAATTATTTTTTGATATTTTTAGTTAGTAGTAGTTTATAGGAAATTTTTATAAAATAAAATAAAAAAACGACCCATCTGATGAAAAGTGAATATCGTCACCTATAAACATTGAACAACATCATGGATATTACGAAATACACAGTGACGCCCTTAGTACTCTTCATTTGTTGTCATTATTGAGGACTAAGGTTTCATGCCACCGTACTCTGTAACTTAATTGTCATATCCCACAATCATCAAACTGAAACACAGTTTTACAACTGTATCACGGTACAAATATGAGTGGGACAAAGGTACCCAAGCAGACGATTTTTTTTCATAATCCCCTCTGGTAAAGAATGTAATTGATTACATGTTTTATTGTTACACCACCAAACGAATAATTTAATAGAAAAATGTTAAAAATTTCAAAACTTTCAAAATTTGTTTTCTTTTATAGTTTTACGTTAATGTAATGATAATCTACATTTTATATTTGACATCAAAATAATTTGTTGTAAACGAGAATTAATTAGACCAACTATAGCATCTTATCATACGGTCGACTCGTCAGCAGTAACTTGATTCCTTACGTTAGGCGGTATTGCATCGTTTGAAACGTGAACATAAAATGTGTATAATATTTTATTATATTACAATGCACGTATTAACTTTGAGATTGCCCGACTACTTTCCTACTCGATATGTAAACATGATGATAAGTTAGTAAAGCCGATATAATAATCACAATACACTGTAATTTACGTCGCAATAGTTATTTTTGGACAGTAAATAAACACAGAGCAAAACTTTCCAGACGTTCACCGGTAATATACAAGTTGAAATCGGAATTATTAGTTTGATATCTTTTTTTTTTTCTTAAAGAAACAATAAATTATGAGGCTCTCATACTATATAGTGCTTCAAGCCGTCAAATTATAGATAGATAGATACTCTTTATTGTTTCCTCGAAAAAATTACAATAGTAAACATGTTATAAATAAAAACAATTACAAAAAAGATTACAATGAGAAAACAATAGGTGGCCTTATTGCTTCTTATATTTAATAGAGTAATATAATTATAACAACATGGAAGATACACCATTTTGTAGTTTTTGACGTGTTCCTTTGTAAAAAGTATTTATTAACTAGTAAAATACTATATTAAAAAAAATATTATATTTTGAAGTCACCCTGTGTAAATAGTCATGACGAGAGTTTATATTTTAGAAGTTTGTTTTTTTCTTTTTACGAATTAAAATATTAAAATCCATATTTATATGACAAATATAATATATTAAATGAAGAAAATACAACAAAAGTAGATGATATTTACGTTTTAGCCTGGTATATTCACTTAAAATTATGACTTTGATCAGATCGTTTTCCTTCGCGAGTTAACTTGTATTACGGTGATGTTTTAAAAGAAAGTTTTTCGCGGCATTTCTGAAGGCGAGCGGGTGGCGGTGGCGCGGACACATGCGCGCATCTAGTAATATTTATAAATTTATTGCAATGTTTCTATTTTTAATTCAAAAATGATATGTATGCGCAACGATATTATTATAAAATTTAATTGAGAACAAGATGAGTCAATGATGTCGGCGAGATGGTCGTCGAGACCGATGACGATGATGAACGTAAATTTTTCTTAATATGTGTATCGAAATGTTTCACCATGTGATCTTTCCTAATGAATCCTTTACCACAATGGTCACATGCGAAAGGCTTACAACCAGAATGCAGACACATATGTCTGCGCAAGTCTGTTTTATGATTGAAGGACTTGGGACATTCATTGCATTTGAACGGTTTATTGTCGGTATGTTTTATGTAATGCCCTTCGTAAGAGACGTCATCGGAAAATCTTTTTCCGCATCGATCACATTTAAACGGTTTTGCACCCGAATGGAATGTTTTGTTATGCTGAGTGAGATAGCAAGCCTTATTAAAGAACTTATCGCATTCATAACACTTGTGTATAGTTGCGGGGGCGGAATTTTTCACTTGATTCCTCTCTGTTAGAGGTGTGCTCACCGTTGACGTAATAGATGGTGATCCGTGACTTTCATTTTCTGCCTTCGCGCTCTCTGGACTAGCCGGAGACTTCATTTGGGACCCATAATTCTCTTTGTTAGCGTAATCCATTATATCCTCAATTTTTAATATTTGCAGTTGACTGGAATCGGTTCGCAGGATATCATTAATTTCACGTTTTATTGTTATACCACCAAACGGGTAACTATATCGCAATATTTTAATATTTTCAGGACTGTATATTTCATTATCCTTTACAGGTTTAGGTGAGTAACTGTAATCGTAATCTACGTTTTGTCCATTTATATCAATATTATTATATTGTAAAGTAGGATTAATTGGATCAACGATAATATATCCTGCGGTCGACTCGTCAGCGACAGCTTGACCCCCCACGTTAGGCTGTGTTGCATAGTTTGAAACATAAACGCTAAAGCTCTGCGTTTGGAGCTGCGCGAAACTTGGCAAGCGTCCGCCGGCAGGTTGATTAGACGTTTCCTGTTCCATAACTTCGACTCCTTCAGGTGCAGATTCACCAAAAGTAGCCGGATTGGCTATAGGCAGATTGTTGATAGCCATATCCATAACGTGGGGGGCCATCCCGTTTGGGTAACTCGGTGCTATAGTCTGTTGAAAATTCTGACCCAAATATAATGGGGTGTGCGTGGGGTCCGGTACCGAAGGTCCCAAAGGATCCGTAGACCTCGGACTGTACGGGTTGACACCCAAATGACTGAACGGAGGCAGTGTGTGAGCTGTAAGCCCCGGCGTACTCTGAGTTAGAGCTGGAGTTGAAATATTGCTGGTTGATACTGATAGCAGGCCCCTCATATGGTGATTTTGAGAAACAGAGGGACCTGCTTCCCCGTTTGGGGGATTCCCAGTCGAAGATATTGTGGTACCTTTAGACCCCTGATGACTACTATCGTTTGGGTTCCCTATACCCGGTGGTTGACTACCTATATTGAGCGGATGCGATCCGACCTGGTGCTGTAAAGGGTGATTAGCTAAAGGATTATTGGTAAAATTATTATCTAAATTACCCTGTTGTAGATGCGTATATGGTGACTTGGACTGCATGGTGGCGACACGATGCGAGCGGTCGAAGTTCTGCGATGCGTAGGGCGACTGTAGTGCGGCTTCGTCTACACTGCGTCCGTCCTCCGAAGGTACCGGACTCTGCGTGTTTGAGTCGGCGGTTTGCTGCTGCCCGCGACCTTGAATCGCATCGCGACTTGGATGATGATGGCTTGAAATGGGCATAGTTGCTGGGTCTGGTTGTCCGGATGACCTCACTGCATTTTTGTGCAAAGTTGTATTATAATGCCTTTTTAAATGTCCAGAACTCGTAAACCATTTATTACAAGCGGTGCAATTGTAAGTTTTTGGCCGCCTTGCTTCATTTGATTTCCAATTGGCGCCTTTTCCTCCAATAGAGGGCAGTGTGGATGACGTAGGATTCGCCGGTTGCGTGCTCGTTATTTGAGGTGCTGCTGAAGAATCGTATGGACGATATGGTGGCTTCATATCGGGATTTGTAGATGATAAACCTGGATATTCAGCTAATGGAGGCATTTGTACGCCTGGATAAATTTTTTGTTCCACGTGCATAAATGTTTTTTGGTCATGATGTCCAGAAAGAAATTTTTCTTGAGAGTATGCAAATTTTTGTTCTGGGTGAAACATTTTGGTTTCTGATGTATAAGATGTTTTTTGCTCAGTAAACATTTTTTGATCCTTAAAAAGGGACACATCTCCATTAAGTTGTGGATTAGTATACAATTTTTGCACCTCCCAGGGCATCATTGGCACAGTCCGGGTATTTACTTCTCGACCCTGTGATGGGGCTTCTTCATATGGGGTTGTCTGCTGTTCACCCTCATTGCCTTGATAAACTACTTTTTGAGAATCTAAATCTAGTATATCTGATGATTCTTCGTGTTCTTCTTTTATTTTTGTATTATCATTTTGATAACCGGAATTATTATATTGTTTAGGTGTAAATTGTTGAAATGGTAGTGAGCTTGCCGCCGGTGCAGTACTGGTACCCGCATGAGCTGAATTGCAATGTTCATTAAGTTGGACGGCAGAGTCACAAACAAAGCCACACTTATCACATTGGTTCGGTGACGGTGACGGCGTGGGTTGGTTCAGTGGCTGTCCATATAATGGGCTGGACGAAGTCACTTGTGGTACCCGCTCTTGCATATTATATGGATGAAAACGTGCAGGTTTATGATATTCTTGACTTTGATATTGGGATTGTTCCCAGTTAATTTGATCCGAATGTTGATTTTGATTAAAGCCAGAATGCGAAAAATTATTACCAAATTGTGCTCCTGGTGAAAAGTTTGTTTGATCTGGATTCTGGTAAGGTGACGGTGCGCTGTGATAACTTTGAGGTGTCGCAGGGTGAGGGAACTGAGCTGAAGTTTCAGGGGTTGCCCGCTGCTGGAACTCTGGACTTGGCTTGGTAATCATGCTGTCACTGGAGTCGGCAGGAGCCGACACTGTAGTTTCGTTCTTCACTTTTGCCCCGTTATTATTATCGCTATCATTCTGTGAGTTTTGCGTGCCCCACTTCACATATAAATTTTCTTTATGGTACTGTAGATGTACCTCTAATGATTCAACAGAGTCTAAATAGAGACTGCAAATCTTACAGTGAAAATCCCTCGACGGCAAGGTCGACGATACAGTGCTGCTGTTAGCCATTTAAGTCATCAATCCAACGGAGAGCACCGTCTCCTCCAACGAAAAAAAAATAATAAAAAAACAACACTTTTCGTGTCGACGTACATGTAGTCCGCACTCGATCAAGCTCTACAGGTTAAAGTCATGGCCGTGGTCAGAGCGTCTCCCCTCGCGAGTTAACTTATAGTACGGTAATGTTTTCGAAGAAAGTTTTTCGCGGCATTTCAGCAGGCGGGCGGGCGGCGGTGGCGCGGGCACGTGCGCGCAGTAAACACTCGACGCTCGCGAATCGCGACACCTGCACGACACAACAAACTTGCCGCAGGCCGCGGACCGATACACAACCGGCACTCGAACGGTAACTCAAAGCGTCTCACTAATCACTTTACCATTTATAAAGTTTTATTGCAAAGTCCACGATTATTTATTGTTAAGGTACAAAGTCTAAATAGTCTATAATGAACTAAAATCACAGAAGCGGTTGCGTCTCTATCAACTTGGCACTTGTTTATGTATACCCGATCGCGCGATAACGTTGTAGTTTGTAGTTTATAGGAAGGCGGCGCGGCGCGGATCCGGCACGGGTCAGCCGGGTACGAACGCAACGAACGTTTACAAGCAACTGACAGCCTTCCCGAAGTCGCCTTCGGGGGCATGACTTCAATAACAATTCGCAACGTCGTCCCCCACCGAGGCGTGCGTGCGAGCGAGAACGCCACGCGGTGATGAAGTTATCGCTTCTTCGTCCTTTTGTGGGTTCTCGGTGCGAGCGAGATAGATGCCACGGGGCCGGCGGGCCGAGGGGGGCGGGGTTGGTCCTACTCTTTCTCAAAATTGAAATGCCCGGTCGAAATGTCCGGTGATGCTGCGTCCGAGTAGGATAGCGATAGCAGCCACCCTTACCATGCGGGCGGACAGAGCCCTGCGACGAATTTCTCTAAATTTTAAACAAGCCTCGTCTTATTTTGTTACCTAGGTATAATAAAAAAAACTTAAGTAACTGTAACTTTTCATTTATTATTATTATATATTTTATTAATTTATTTTCTATATATCTTATTTATTAAATTATATTTATCTAAAAAAAGTATACATTCTATGGCTATTCTAGAAGCTCCACCTTGAAGGTAGACAAATACATATATAGTTATATAATAAATATGTATAATATAATATAATATATGTTAATATACATAGATATATAATTAGTATATATTTACATAAAACTAAGATCAAAGAAATTTTACACAAACAACAAGTTCTGAATCATAATATCGGCATCATCACAGTCATTTTTATTTTTTTCATTAGCAGATGACTCTTTTTATACAAACACAAAGCAATTTACGCAAGAGTGTTTTCCCAAAATCACAATTTACATTTAAAAATAACTATCACGTTTTATTAGCCAGTTTTATTTGTAGTATTGACCTTATAATTAATTTGTTACGATTAAGTTAATAAGTATAAAATTAACACGTGCATAAAAAAGCAGCTACATTAATGTATATATAATAGAAAAGACCGCTAAATAAGTGAAAACTGGAACATATATATGTATGTAGAGGATGGCCGATATCTGCGCAGGGCACTGAAAATTTTGCATCGCGGACCGAGGGGTGTACTGCGGGGGCAGGCGCGGTTCCTTCAATTTTTTCTAAACATCGAACGAACGTCTCTGCTGAACATTCAGAATTTGGACGTCGCATATACCTCGTGGTCCGCACAGAATATCCGAACTGTCCACTAACAATGTCCAACTTATACCGACAGTCGATAGTACACAGATGGCTGGACACAGGTCCCATGCAAACTATGAGGGGAGCTAACATCGATTTTCTCGTACTGTTCCCGATCGCTTCCTATTCCTTACCTCCTTGTACGATTTTACACTGGACTCTCACCAGCTTTTCGTTTTACATTTTAACTAAATATTTTATTTAAAGATTGTATCTTTGTAGGTAGATAGGATATATATATATATAGTGTTTACTAGTTAATCCTACTACTTGGTGTTCTTACTAAACTTGTTAATTACGATTGCTAGCTAGAGGGACTATTTTACAACTTAACTGAAAGTGGTAACCGTCGCCAATAGATAACAGCACTTAAAACATTATAAAATACAGAATGGAATCAAGGAATCAGTGGTACATAATTTTTAATGTCCTATACTGACAAAAGATACTATATTGTGCATTATTGCATTCAATACATATATGTTTTGCCTTAAGAACTTATAGATGACATATCTAATACTTTTTATATTACTAGTACTTGCTTGTACAAATTGATTATACCTACTCTTTACAAGGCAATAACTTAATCATAAAAGTGAAGATAACTTTTGCGTGCCATCAATTCTACACTGCTTATTCAATTTTGGTTCTTATTTGATACTGTATAAGAATGAATTATGACTTAACAAGTCGCATCGTACAATAAAGTTGTATTCACAAAACTAATAAAGTAACTTTTGAGTTTCAGGTACACGGTTATGAATTAAAAAATAATAAAGATTTACCAATTTGAGACTATCCGAATTTCTGCACTTTCTGTTTAGTCAGAGTTAGATAAGTTTCGTCTTAGAATGGATAATATATATATATATAAAAATATAATTTAATATTAACGTATTAACAAAGTACTGAGGACTTAGTAATCGGCCATTCTTTATATTTTTAAGCGAAATAAACAAAGAAGTAGTTCTGTTTTCGTATTTTTTATGTATGTTTACTGCTTTCTCTGTCAATTCTGTAGCGATTTGGACAATTCCTTTTTTTTATTTTTAGTCTTTTTCTATATTTTCATATAAACTGACAAAGTCAATAAGAATTACATTATACGAACTTAGAATAACTAGTTATAATACCCAGTTAGAAATTTAATTCAATTCTCAAGTAAATTATGGGTTATCAAGTTAAGAAGTAAGTAAGCTACTGTGTTGGTTGTAATAAACAAGATCGTTGTTTTCTTTATGGCTAGAACAGTTTAGACTAATAAAGTGTTTACTTTTTAACACTTCATTTACTTAGTTATTAATAGGACATAATAAACTAGACGATGACTGTACATAAGAGATATTTATTAAAAAAAAATATATGAAGAATAATAATAATAATAAGCGCATCAGAAGGCAAAACAATAGTTTTGGACTTTTTGCTTGTAGCCGAAATCTCAAAAACTACTGCACCAAATATAATTGTAAAATATTATGTTGTGTTCGTAAAGGTCTAATTGAATCTTAGTGAATATGTACACGTACGTATGTAGTTGAGGGCAAAAGTTTGTAAACAATAAAAAAACACAGACAATGGATAAAAAAGATCTAACACATATATATAATACTTTATAAGAGTTCCCTAAACTTTTTTGTCTAATAAACCACTTGCAATGTTTTTCGGTTTTTTTTTTATTCTCTAATATTGTTATTTTTTTTTTAATTTGTAATATCAAATGTCATTTAAGCTATTTTATTTTACTGACTTTAGAATTGCCAATAAAATAAATATTAGTAAAGCGGTGTCAGTTCCCATTGCTAGTAATATATTTCATCAGGTCGACCTCCACGCGGTCCTTGGCCATTGTATACCCTTATCATAAATGGATACATCAAAACCATCTACATTGATTTAAAAATAGTATTATTATTCGCACAAGACTAAATATAGATAGTATTGATTACTATATAGATGCTTCTTAAAGATCCTTGTAGATTATCATCATAAACTCATTTGCTATGAATCATCAGAAGAGATAGATACTCGTAGCGAAGTATCGAACAGGCGGGAAACTTGTAAGCCAACTTAGTTTGTCAGCTGGTATGCTCACTCACTTATCGCCCTCGCGGCTCATAAAAATTCCCTTATGATAGATGTACAAAAATGTTCACATTAGGTGCTTCCTTCCAAATCTCACTTTACTTAAGGAATTAAGGTAAAAGATTCGAGTCTCTACTGGACCTGAGACTGTTGTATGTAGAATGTTACATGGTTAGGTTATACTCTAACTTAAGAATACTTTATATACAAACTCACACTGGCAAGGCCACAGGGTAAAGCTGGTTTATATTTGTATGTATATATATATATATATATATATATATATATATATATATATATATATATATATATATAATGTGTAACAAATCAAATTGTACATATAATTCTGTATAAATTTAATAAAAATATCACAAAGATAAAAAATATAAGTATGCTAATAAAAAATATAGTATTTGTATAGAACTACTAGTTAGACTTTAAATTATTTAATTAATAACCTATTATGTAAAAGGTATAGGTAAAAATTCTTCTAATAATAAATATAGCATATAATTTGAAAAAAAAATATAGATATTCTGTAAAATATATTTTTTTTTTGTTATTTCTATAAAAGATTGATGATGAGAAATGCTAATGAACATAAAATATGGATGATTATTAATAATCGTGATATTCACCGATTTGTTTTAAATTCTTCAGCTCTCATAGTTACTATGGCAAAAGTTCAATAATATAAGGAAAATCGCAAAATATACTTTATATGTATGCCTAGTTGTAAATAACGTCTTTATACATGTACATAAAATTTGAATGGAACTAAATATATTACAATCTCATTTACAAAATCATGAATGCATTCATCAACATTCAAGGAGACCATACATCTTACTCTTTTCATTATTATGTTTAGATAAAAAGAAAACGGTAATTACATATTAATACCAAACCGATTTAACTTTACATGTATATTGTACATAGAAATCTTATGTTAAAAATATATAAATGATATTGAACACCAGGAACCGGGCAATGTACCTCTGAGTGCTCCCACAAACGAGAATATCCATTCCTGAACCATTCTAGAAAGTTCGTTTCCTAAATTAGCCCTACCGTGGATTGATGGGGAAAGGGTTCCCCATCTATGCAAAATAACACGTGCTCCGTTTCGCCACGGAAGTCATCTTATTATTTTGATTCTTTACATACATTATCTTTTTATAGTACAATGTACTGTAAAAATTAAGCTTAATTCGCTTTATAGTGTCAAAATGGCTACATTATATAATATTATTGGTTGTACCCTGCGACTTTGCCCGCGTGAATCATTATATAAAGTATCCTATGTCAATACATACTGAACAATACATACATACATACCTGTCATGCCTGTCTCCCACTGAACAACTCATAATATGAAAAAAAAATTAAAATTGTCTTTAATCTTGAATTACCTATTATGTTCCTAATTAACAAAAAAAAAATGGCACGACTAGAACATGTTAAGTACTCGTTCAACAAAAACGTGACAAGTCTGGGACAAATATTTTAAAAATAATTTACTAATACAAATAAAAGTTTCCAAAAAATAAAAATATATTGTTGTAAAATTCGTCAAAGCTACTTCCGATATCACCTCAGTTCCATAACAATGGGGAGATAGCAAATCCTTTATCATAAACAGTTGAAACGACACATTAAATTTAACACAAAGTGATTAAAGACAAAAGTAAACTTGTCCTAAAAAAAAGAATAAGCAATAAACATTTTGTATAGAATTCAAAGAAAACGAACAAAAGAAGTAATATTGCAAAATTCTATTGGAAAGTTTATGCTGGCATTTTGTGGTAGCTTTTACCCGACTATCAATGAAAGAAGGGGTATTGTTAAATTTGTGCACGTGTATATATAACACGTGTAAATATATG